TTTAAAATTAAAGAATAAATCACAGATGTCCAATCAATAGCTACGTATGGTGTTACCCGAAACAACAGCTGAGTGACAGGTATAGAAAAAAATACTCAAATGAGAGGAAAAGAGTAAAGTTCAGTTTCATCCCAATGACTGTACCGCAAGCTACATACCGATGCCAGTCACTAAATCATATGTCCTCAGTGCTCAAAAGTGGGCCTTGGGCTCTTAACTACTGCACAGGTACACCTGATACTTGGAGGCCTTGATGTGGCTGATGAGCAGGAGAGCGAATAACGGAGAGCTCCCCTCTTACTGAGGCAGGCCATTTACAATCTGGCTATCACTGTCCCTAAGTCAATATTAACACACAACTTTAAAAAAAGGCTGCTTCCTTGTCCTAACAACAAAGTCTGCTGACCCCGCAGCATCCTGCGGCTCTGACTTCTGTATCCGCCTCATCCTGCGGACCCGGAGCTACCTACTGACTTCCTCTGACCTCGTTCTGCAGGGCTCTCTCTCTCCTTTATCTGCATACAGCAGCACCAGAGAGTCCATGCTGTTATTTACCTACTTAGCAACAAAAATACTGTCCCGGGGAATGTTCCACTGTGACAAGGGAGATAACGTTTCTTAAGGGGCACAAAAGTCACACAGGCGCTGGCACGGAGTAGAAGAGAAAGGAGGAAGCCCAGCAGGACTTCAGACAGGAAGGCTCTGGCTAGGAGTCAGGCAGAAGCAGAAAGCAAACAGGAAAATAGGGTGACAACGGTAATAGATAATGAGGCTAAAAAAATCCCTTTGCGATCAAAGTCAAGGAAGGGATCCAGCTTGGAGGTAAATGAGGAGATGAAACCAAAACACAGCCCTGAAGAGCAAACAATTCCTGCAGACTTCATGGAGAGATTCCTGGGGCCACTGTGGCATTCAGAAGTGGAAGCAGGACAGCATTCAGAGTGGTGCGGGCCAGTCAGAGAGCAGGGCACTTGTGACGGGATGACGAGGAGGCCTGAGGTCAGGTTTACTTGGTCCACGAGGAGCACACTGTGCCAGCGCCCGGAAGTGGCACCCAACTTCTCCAGCAGCCAACCCAGTTTCCTACCACTCACCAGCAACACAAGGAAGGAAAGGCACTTCCTTCAGAAGCTAAGGGCCACAGAAAGACATCGGGGGAAGGAAAGCATGACCATTAGGCTCCTGCAGTCTGAGTTCTAACAGGCCCCGACCGGAGGTGGCTTCAACCTGCACCACCCACTAGGAGCTTGCAGTCTGTGAGACCTTCTGCACTGTAGATCGTATTTGTATGGAGAGTGGCCTGGGATGGAAAGTCTACATGTACAGATTACGTTAGCACACCCGCCTGCGTGGGATCGGTAATTCTAGAGGTGGTCTGGAATACCAGCTCCTGTGTGGGGACAGCCAGGGACAGCCACACTTGTTCTTCAGCTGCTGCCCATTTTTCCACTTATTGGTGCTCTAAATCTCACCACTCAGCATTGAAAGACAATCATTTTGTTTCCCCTCTCAGCACGAATAACAAAATCTATGCAGTGATGGATGCGTGCAGGATTCCATTCCACAGATGCCTATCCTGCAAGGGAGAAATAGCATACTCCACCCTAAACCATAAATTTAAGTCAGAAAACTAAGAGAAGGATGAGTTCTGGGTTAGGAAGCAATGCTTCCTAAGTTTAACCACTGTGATTTCAATTTTCACACTGAAAGAACATACTTCTGTGAATTTTTGGAGAAATCCACACAATTATTTAAATGTATTTCTGTTGCCATACACATTATGACAATGCTCTCTGCCATGTCATGTGACGCTGACAGGTGTGATGCCAACATAATACTCGATGCACGCTAGCCTCACTAGCACCTTGCTCTGCAGTTCTCAGATTAACCCCAGCAAGCTGAACCCACCGAGCTCAGAGGCAGAGCCCCTGAGACGGTGGTGAGGTGCCGTGCACGGGAGGATCAACAACGCAGGACTGAGCACGAAAAGCACCGAAGGGCACCAGGAGGCTCACAGGGAATCCCACGTAAATACTGGCAGACCTCCAACCCCAGACGCTTCTGCTTCACTTCCCCTCTGCGATATCTCACAAACCTGCAATCAGTGACTAGGAATCCATAAAGAAGTTGAAGGACAATTTAAAATTAATATTCTGCAAAATGCCAAATCGCTAGGTGAAAGCCAATCTCCATCTTGATAACTGGAAATCTGAAACCTTACACCCCAAGATCAATTTAGAATCTTTTCATTATATGCAATTGAAAGATATTTCACATACAATATATACACTACTGAGTATAGGTGCTTTAAAAACACCTATGGCATAAAATATTAAAAAAAGAACAAAAGTGCCTGGGATAAGCATGCTTTTCTTGGAGCCTGAGGATTTAAGCATTAAAAAAAAAACCTCTTCTTGTTGGAGTAATTAATCTAGGAATATCTCTTCTATTAATGTGGCATGCTGCTAGACTGAGTAGAATTCAAGCTGGAATATGGAAAACTTCCTTAAAATGTAGTCATGCACATACCCTTAGGTCTCTGGCAACATATTTAGATAAAATATATTCTGAAGTGTCCATTTCTCTAATGTGCACCCAATGTACCATGTTTTCCTAAAGTATTAGATTAATAAAAGTACCAAAACTTCTTTGGGACATCATGAAAGAATAATAAAAGATGAAGACTCAATAGCTGCGTTTTTTAAAAAAAATAAAAATTTTCTTCACATCATTCTACAGTCATATGAAAATGACAGTGAATACATTTAACTGTCATCTGACATCTACAATACCCCTTCCTGCATTTATACATTTGTTTTATGTAACGATTGTTTACATGTGTTATTGCTTCTCAAGCAAGATTCTAATACATAGTAACTATCACTGTAGTCAGTTGTTTTGTTTAACTAGTTTTTAAGATACAAATGGTCTTAACACCATTTAAATAGGACATATCTTTAATTTCCAGATTCTTAAATATATAAAACATTTAAGATCAAGATGATGGTGCAATGTAGCAAAATTTCATACCACCAATTGAGGACAGGAGAGAAAGTAGTGGAGATATGAATACAGAGTGTAAGTTCTGAATGGTGGGACCCCACTCCACAAGCCAGGCAGTGGTGGCGAGCCTATGGCATGCGTGCTATTTATTTTTCTTTTAAGACAAAAGAAGTTAATGTATGAGTTGTTTTTTCAAAACTAGCGCCTCAGTATTCAGGTTTAATTGCAGTGTTGGTGCTTTGCAATAAATAAGTGGGTTTCAGGCTGCAGCTTGGGCCCTCGTCTCTGAAAGGTTCACCATCACTGACCCAAGGGTCCTCAGCAGCTTCAATGGAGACAAGGCTTGAAAAATCTGAATCACTGCGTGACCAAAGGCAGCAATCAACATGACTCTCAGCTCTACTGACTTCGCTTCAGAAGGAAAAACACAAAAACCGCTGCTCGTTACACTGATACAAACTTGCAGGGCAGTTACTGGTGGGGCAACCATCTTGGGAACCTACATATTTTATAAGTTTGTTTCAGCTTTACAGTCGTGCAATTATATAAGAGGAATAAGCATAAAGTCTATGAAAAGTGTAACTGGATGCTTTGTGCATTGTTAAGTCAACACCCTTTCCTCCTTTCAAGTTGGCCTGGATATTTCTCAGTGTTAAAGAAGTGCTTCTCCAAGCCGTTCCTTTCCACCGACTTCCTTGACGCCCACAGCAGTGCTGCAAAGCTCTGCTCCGTTTGCAAAATCAGGCCACAGAGGGCTGGGGATTTAGCTCAGTGGTTCTGCCTCCTGCCTCACAAGCGCAAGGTCCAGAGTTTGATTCCCGGTACCAAAAAAAAAAAAAAAAAATCAGGCCACAGTGGCACAGGGAGGCTACCTGGCCTGCCAGCAGCTATGCTTTTGACTTTGCAAAACTGCAGTGTAATAACCTAACACACTACATTAATAACCTAGTAATTAATGAATAACATTAATAACCTAATAACACTACAGGTATTAATGAATCTGCAATTTTAAAGCTTGAAAACAGAAGGCAAAGAAGAATATTTCCTTTTGCTCTTTTTTTTCTTTTAAATTCTTTTATTGGTACATTTAAGGTAGACAGTACGTTTACATTTATCGTTGGGTGCTTGTACCTGTACATGATGTACCTTGGTTCTTATTTTTTCCCCATTACCTGTGTGCACTTCACTCCCTCCACTCTTCCCTGTTTACATAAATTTCGTTTCCATTTTTTTTTCTTTTCTCATAGTTTTTCCTTTCCCTTCTTTCCGTTCCCCTCCCTCTCCCACCACCCCTCCATCTTTGGACCTTTTAATATTTCAAATTATCAATTATTCATTTTAATCCTTATTTACACTTTCAGTTCCTCACACTAGAGAAATTATTCAGTATTTATACATGTGTCCTATTTATTTCACTTAAGAGTATGGACTCAATGTGCATCCATTTAGCTATAAATGACTTTAGTTTCTTGTTCTTCATGGCTGAGTAGTACTCCATTTTATAAAAAAAACCCCACATCTTCTTTATCCAGTTTCCAGTTGATGGGCACTTGGGCTGGTTTCAAGCTTTAGCTATTACAAACTGTGCCGCTATAAACATGGGTGCACATGTATCACTGTGGTATGATTCTTTTAATTCATTTGGGAAGATACCCAGCTGGGGAATAGCCGGGTCAAATGGGACCTCTAGTCCTAGTTCTTTGAGGTATCGCCATACTGATTTCCACAAATTCAAAGACTCAATTCAAAACTGGGCATCTGAAATGAACAGACATTTCTCAGACAAAGAAGTAAAAGCAGCAAATAAATGTATGAAAAAATGTTCAACATCACTGGTCATTCGAGAGATGCAGATGAAAACAGCACTGAGATTCCACCTCACTCCAGAAAGAATGGCTGCTATCAAGAAACCAACCAATAACAAATGCTGGGGGGGGGGGAACCCTGCTCCACTGCTGGTGGGAGTGCTTTCGCTCTTTTTAATCAATTTATTTATATTTATTTACTTATGCATTTATTTTATTTTTGGTTCTGCTCTTTTTTAAAAGAAGTGGGAGGCGAAAGGAGAGACCCACTTCTGTGTCTGCCCAGGGTAGAACGCGGGCAGCAAAGCCGGAGACAAGAGCCGGTGGAGCGGCAGCTGCGGGGCCGCGCGTCCCGCCACCTCCCACGCCCGCTTCCTTCCCGGGCACCTGCGGCCCACCGCTGACGTCACAGGGGCTAAACACGGAAGGACGTTCCCGCACGAGGAGCTCTGAAAGCAGATTGCAGGCCACAGTGGCAGAGCGCACGGGAGCCAGCAGGCCTGGCCCGGGCTCATGGCAGCACGGAGTATGCTTTTCCTGACCACTTGTGAAGGTCCACCTCTCCTCGAAGGACGATCGTGTGTGACGTCAGGCATTGCGGTGTCACAATCACAGCTCCTAGACCACGTGCAGTGGTGCGAGCAGATTCACCCCTAGGCGAGCAGCCCTGCACGGACGGCGAACGGCGGCGTGGCACTAGAAGTGTCCAGACTTCAGATCTCAGGTTGGAGAACATTTGCCCAGGCCCCCGAGGCTAATCACCCCTCACCTGGAAATATGAAATTTAAATTCACTCAAATCTGAAACTTTTTGAGCCTCATGTCGGTGCCCAACAAGTTTCAGATTTTGAAGCGCTCTGACATTTGGATCTTCAAATAAGGGTGCCCAACCTATACTTGGAAACAGAAACAGCAGGAAAAAAATTCTGAAGGAGTCCACTCAATATTACTAGTTCAGTGTCTATTAGACATCAGGTATTGTTTTGGACCAAAATGAGAATATAGATTCCTTTTCCGCTGTGACTTTATCATCTTATAGGCACTGTTAGCCTTATGATGGCAAACGGTTAGCTCAAATTTCATAAGGGTTATGACTAATAGAAAGACAAGGTGTATGGAAAAATGGCAGCTCAAGTCTGAATTTGGGAATGGGGGCAAAGTGAAAATCTAGGTCAAGTTATGGGTTTATAAGAGGATTTAAGAAAACCAGTACAGTCGGTCCTCTCTCCTGATTATCCATAGCCCACAGGGGCAGAGGCGAGTGACACGGAAGGCAGAACCCACAGGATGGAGAACAGGGGGCCACAGTGTCTCATGGAGCCAGGGAGATGTCCAAGATTTGAGGGCAGAGATGACATGCCCGGGAACGGAAGGGTGCAGGGGAGGGTGCTCGGAGGGGCAGAAGAGCTTTCTCCCGGACAGGTTTAAGTTGAGGTCTCTGAGAGCAGCGGCTCGAGCTCACCATCAGGGAAAGGGGGCTTGGGCACGGGTCGGGGTGATGTCTGGAAGCCCCACACCATCTCCAAGGGAGGCCAGCGGAAGTGGGAGATCAATGAAGCCACAGGACACTTACCAGGCAGAAAACTTCAAGTGAAAACAGACAAGGAGAAGAGACAATAATAGCGGAGGGTGAAGGGATGCCTTCGAGGGAGCAACAGCAATGAAGCTGAGGGTGAAGGGAGCAGAGGGACCACAGCGTTCCGGGCTGCAGAGTGCGGGTACTGAGGATGCCCGCTGGACCGGAGCTGATGTCAAGGTCCCAGGTGCCTGTCCATCTCGTCACATGGTTTTTACAGAACTAAGATGCTGTCGCCCTCGATCAAAACCCCCGTGACTTTCCGCTGACTGCTCCCCTCCCTGGCCTGCAGACCCCGCTGAGCGCTTCCTTGGCCTGCCCGAGTGCAGTGTGAGCGGGGAAGGAACACGCAACCGAGTGCGTGGTGTGGCCCTGCTCTGCAGCCACGGCCGGCGTGGCTCAGTCCCCAGGAAAGCCACGGGCAGAGACAGCCTCCAGGAACGCCTCACGTCCTTCTGTACTGACTGGGCGGGACTCGGACACGGACGCGGGTGAGGACCACAGCATCCGGCAGTGCTCAGCAGGGTTGTGAGTCATGAAGGAAACACAGGTCTGGAGCACACAAGCCACAGACCCACGGCAGGGAGCTCCTCCAATCACCAAAAGCACAACCATTTCAACATAAGATTTGTTTCTTTTCATCTGATCAAAACAGGAGCTGTTTGCCCTGTAACAGTTAAAGGCTCATCCCGCCAAGAATTATTTTACACAGAAATGACAGAAGATAGACTTTATCAGCACGTCTGCATTTGCAGGACACAAACCTGTGGGAGCACTGAAAACCCAACTGTGAGGGAAGCCACCCGTTGTATATGTCTCAACTATCAACAGCGGAACCTATCATAACCACCTGCTGAGAAAGCCCAGGTCATCTTTATGTTCTGTCTTTCAAAAGTACAGTACAAATGTTTTTATCATACAGAAAAAAAGGTTGACAAACTGTATGCAGTAGCAAGAAAGAGAAGTAATATGACGATGTACAAAGTAATCAAAATGTTATGGTACTGAGGGGTGACGGGCGCACAAGAAATCAGGAAAAAATAAGAATCAACATACATCATGTACAGGTACAAGCACCCAATGATAGATGTAAATGTACTGTATACCTAAAATGTACCAAGAAAAGAATTTAAGAAAAAAAATGTTATGGTATTTTAAATTTGTGTTGTTGTAGTATTTGGAAGCTTTTAAAATTTGTCATTGTTGTGATATATTTTCCCAATTTAGCAGTTTACTTTTGCACCTAATTCTATACAGTGGTACCTCGGTTCACGAACTTAATTCTTTCCACGATTCTGGCCGCAAACCAAATCCATTGAATTTGATTCAGTTCTTGTCCAATTCAGTTTGTGACCAGAATTGTGGAAAGAATTAAGTTCATGAACTGAGGTACCACTGTATTCATGACTTAGTTTTGTTTTAAAGACTATGCCTACACCATGTATGATTCAGATTACACAAATCCTGGACTGACCCCTGATTACAGATTTGCCTTCAGGAGGACAATACCAGCAGGAAAGTGGGGACAGAACTCCACACTACAGTGTTTTAAAGAGAATTAAAATGCTTCAGAAGGGGCTGGGAGCACAGTGGAGCAGTAGACTGTATGTCCTTAGCATGCACAAGACCCTGGATTCCCTGCCAAGCATGCCACAAACACAAACTAATAACAACAGCAAAACCCCACTCTTTAAGAAAAGGTACATCACAAAAATAATAGAAAAGAAAACCACAAACCATCAAGATGTCTGTCACATTAAGTTACACATTAAACTAACACATAATTCATATTCTGGGTATAAAAGCAGAATTCTTATGAATCAATAAAGAGACAGACCAAGAGACAAACAAATTGGCTAAGAACAAAAAAGCAAAACACAAACAGCATAAATGAACCATAATTTTCAAGAACAACCAAAAAGTCCCAACTTCATTATAAATCATGAAATTTCATATGTAAAACTAAGATGTGTTTGCTCATAATGGTCAAACACTTAAAGTATGGTATAACAAAGCACTCGAGTTTATGGAGAAACAGGAACTGTCATCAGATATGACAGCACATATCAACTGGCACATCCACTTTGGAAAACAAGCAAATTAGGGATGCACAGCCTTCTGAAGCAGCCCCTTTCCTGGATAAAAATGTCAGTGCAAAGGGGCTGCATGTCAGAGAAACAGGAAACAGTAAGATAGATCTTTTCCAAAAGGGAAGTGGAGTAACAGGTGGAAGGAAGGAAATGAAAAAGAATTAAGATGTGTTATGCACGTGTAGCAGTTCCCCATGATGCAGGTAATCATCACAGGCAAACATGTACTAATAAAAATTAAAATACTTTAAAGTAAAAAAAAAAAATAGAAACAGTCCAAATGGTTTTCAACAATACAACATCTAAATAAAATGAGGGTATATTCACACAATGAACCACAAAAGAGGAATGAAAATGAAAAATCTGCCATTACATACTTCAATATGAATGAACCTCCAAAAATTAACTTTGAATAAAATAACCTTCCCATAAAAGAACATATGAAGTATGTTTTCATTTGTATAAAGGTGAAATCAGGCTAAATAAGCAACACTGTGTATAAGAACATACACTTGTAGTGAGACTATATTAATAACTGGTTCCTGAAACCGAGGATGGTGATGAACTCTCAAACTGAAAGCACAGGGTGAGTTTGGGGCCAGAACCGTGGTCATCTTTAGTGAGTCTGTTACTCTATTCCGTATGCGCAGAGGTAGTATGCAAGCACTCATTTTATTATTGCTTCTAAAATTCCGAGTCTATGTTTCATGTACTCTTTTATGTCATGCTATTTCAAAAAACATAATTTTAAAAGGGATTCAGGAGAGGTGATGGAAGTAGACATGGTGACAGTACAAATAACCGACAAGCCACCAACATCCCCCTATTCCAGGTTACAGATAAGAGTCAAGAACCAGGGATACCCTGTTTTAATACTGTATGATGGAACCCTAAGTTATCCTGAGACAATGTCTAAACACTTAGCCTCCCGTTTTTGCACAAAATTAGTGGCCTGGATTATGAATGAAGTCCTGTATTCTGGGGTCATCAAACATTCTTGTCTGATACCCTTGACTACCTTGAAACTATCTTTCCCAGAGAGTGCGCTCCAGGGTTCCGAGGCTGCCCAGAGTCTGCCACAGGGCTCATAAAATTCGGGGTCAAGTAACAGGTGCCCAGTCTGTTAAGTGCAACTCTCACTGCTGCAATGATGAGTGTGTAATGGACACACAATGCCGCCCAACCACCTAACCCAGCAGTGCCCTGCAGAAGAAAGCGCTGGACAGCTCAGTGCATGGAGTTCACAGACAGGAAAGCAGTCACACTAGGGAGAAGCTCTTCTTTCCCTCCAATGCGGTGCGATGGGGTGGGAATCACAGTATTCCGCCCATTTAAAAATCACAATTAAAATTTCCATAAGAAAAGATACACAGTGTGCGCACTCATGCACACGCACACACACACACCTTTTTTTTTTCCTAGGTTAACATTCTACAATTTCATTCTCTCCCAGATTTGCTTTTCCTTGCTCCTCCCCCATGATGATTCCTTCCCTTTCTCCAATTCCTTCTCCACAGCCCAGCCAGCGACCTGTTTTCTAAGATGCCAACTGCTGTTTCTGTGACCCAGCGACTCCTGCTGCCTCCAGCTGCCTCCAGGATGCAGGCCGGGACTCCTGGCCACGGAGTACGCGCTTGGATCGCACACCTGTGTCCACTGGGCACCTCCACATGGCCCAAGCTGTCCAGCAACCCAACCCACCCAAAATGTAGAACTTGCTTTTAATTTTATGTGACTATCAATAATTTAAATAGCACCGTGTGGCGTGTGCTGCAGGTTTAAGAGACTATAATATAAAATCTCTTCCAGCCTGCAAACCTTATGATTCTAGATATACAAAAAAGGCTCACAAAACTCTACTCAAGCACTATTTTCAAAAATTTCCTTTTAAGTACCTAGTATGTGGCTTCATCAATGAACAAAACACACGGACATCTTTGTCCTTGCGGCTGACAGTCTTGTAGGGAGAGAAAGATAATGAAAATAAATATAGTAAGCAAAGCAGAAAATTACTGGAAGGTAATAATATTATGGAAACACAGAGTAGATTACGAAAACCACAAAGAATGCTGGTGTGAGAATGAATTGGTGGTCTTTCCGCATGGGCTGAGCGGAGGCCAGCACAAGCAGCTGGGGTTGAGCAAGGCCTGAAAGCAGCTGGGAGCCAGGCACAGAAGCGAAGCGCCAGGGTGAAGATCCAGACGGAGGCCTGAGTGAGTGGAAGCGGAGCCCAGGGAGCCTGGTTCTGGGTGAGCAAGGGTGGAAGTCATGGACAATGCAGCCACAACACGGGAGAGAAGGACGTGGGGCCTATCACATCCAGCCACCGAGAGAGCTGACACTCCGCAGAGCCGTTATAAAGAAGAAATCGCCAGTTTTCCATGATCCTCTGCCTTCACTGGAGATCACCCTACAAGCACCAGGGCCGGGGTGAGGCTTCATTGCTGGAGATCCTTGACAAATGACACAGGTTTGGTTCAGAGTGGCAGCAACACCAACAGTGAGAAACGGCTCAATTCTGGGTATATCTTACAGGTGGAGTTCAGAGTAGATCATGAAATACAGGAATGTGGGGTAGGTGAACAGAAAAAGTCAGCATCAGTTCCTAAGTTTTGAGGTAAAGCCACTAGGAAAATGGAGTGCTCATCCCCTGGAGGGGTGAAAACCATGGGAAGAACAAGTTTGAAAGGAAACCGAAAGCTGAGCGCTTTCCAACTGTCAAACTTGCAGTTTCTATTCCACATCAAGGAGATGGATGTCTGGGACTGACTGAAACAGCCTGAGCTGGAGAAATAAATTAGGAAATCTATGACATACGAGAATACCTTCCATAAATTGCATAAGATCACAGGAGCTTACAGAGTGAAAAGAGGGCAAGGACTAAAGAAAGAGTTCGAACAAAAGTTAAGAAGTAACTCGGAAGGGTGAATTGATGAAGAATAATTCAAAAATATCCCATGTGGAAGGAAGAAAAGCAGGAGACTATGGTATCCTTGAAGTCACATGACAAAGTATTTCAAGGAAGAGAGCATGATCAATTTCGTCAAATACCTGAAAAATGAAGTGGTATAAGAATAAGAAAACGACCACGGGAGTAATAAGAAGGTCAGGGGTGATCTTTACAAACATGGCGACAGTGGAAGCGCTGACAGAAGGCTGGACTCAAGCAGGTTCCAGTGACAAGAGAAAGAAAAGGACCGACAGCTCTGCTCTCCCACCACGCGGACAGCAGGGTAGAGGCGGCTGCCGGCAGCTGCGGGGGCAGAAACCATGGCAAGAGCTGCGGTCGGTCTTTCCTTTTTAAAGAAGAGAGTAGGGACAGCTAGTTTGAACGCAGATGGAAGGATTCAATAAGGCGAAAAACCAGTGACACAGGGCGGAGACTGTTAACACGGGTGGCCACAGGACTGCTTGTCCCGTGTAGTTACCCAGTGGCCGAGGAGTGATTTCCAAGCGGTGGAAAAGGAAAAGCAAGAGTGTTTCAAGACACAGCAAAGTCCCATCCAACTGCAGCTCCAGAGGCCGCACATAGAGCTTTCCTGGGACACAGCTGTGCTCTACCTTTACGCCCATCGGCAGCCGCTTCTGTGCCTCCACGGTCCCAAGGCTGCGCTGCACTGGAGGTCACAGTGGCGTCCCGAGTGTTTCCTGCCTCCTCTAAGCTCTGCAGAATCACTGGACAGGCACAACTGGACAGCACTTCCGAGCCACGCACACCGCCTGACTGTGACAGTGTGCTTTTTCATCAGTATGTGTCATAAAAAGAAAGCAGATAAATGCCAGGCTTTGGAGGCACAGGGGGATGTAGATTATTTTGCTGCTGAATTAGACAGCAAAGGATTTTGTTTATTTTACACAATAGCTAACAGAGTCCTATGAAAAGCTTTGAAATGATGAATATGCACACAGGCCAGTGGATACATATCAATATTTGGCACTACCTGTAAAAAAAAAAAAGTTTTAAGGATCAAATATGTAAAATTTAGATGTGGAACAGTAGGATGAATATTTGCAAGCAATACTGAGGGTAATAACAAAACTGTAATCAAGCACTAATAATAATTATTGAGGATAATAACTGAATTCCAATCAAGTAAAATGCTATCTCAAAAGAAAGAATTTCAAAAAAAAAAAGAATTTCATTAGTGTTACGCGTGTTATAAATTTTTAAATATTCTGTATTATTACTATCATATTTTTAGTTTTGTTGATAGATGCATGCACATTTATTATGTTGTTTTCCTCTTTTAATATTACAAGTGCCTACATAATATTTCGGATTTTGCTTCTTGGGCTGCAAAACCTAACATATTTACTACCTGGCCTTTTACATAACATGTTTGCCAACCTCTGATGTAGAACAGAGAAGGAATAGATGTTAGAAAATTATTGTTCTATAGGCAAGTGATTGCACCAATGACTGGTTTCATCTGGCCTTCAGAACTTCCAGGTGATTAAGCACAATTACTAGCCTGAAGATAGAATTTCATACAATAATAATCAAAATACATAAAAGGAAAAGCTGAAGACAATTAGAGGAAGAGGTCAAAAATACAAGCTATGGATAAAGTATTTTCATAAAAACCCAGAGGACATTTGAAATCTATGGGAAAACGTTAGAGGAAAGTTGTTGCCTCTTCTACTACTTACAAAACTGCATCTTTCTTAACATGGGAGAGAACTCAACTTGGAAATAACCAAAACAAAATGATAAAAAAAAAGGTAAAACACAGAAATAGTGATCTCTGGCACTGCAGGTAGAAATAAAGACAAAGAATAAAGCCAACCTAGCAGAAAAGACAAATGCACATTTGCACTTGGAAGAACAATTGAGGAATAAAATTTGAATTTTACTCCTGTAATACAGATGATCATTTCTATTTTTGTGACGTCTCCAGAATTCACTTTAAAATAAAATAAAAGACTGAAGAGCACGAATGATTATGGCTCGTCACCAGTAACATCTATCATACAGAATCCCAGGGCCTTTGTTAAAATGTAGGTTTGCAGCATAGCAGTCCAGAGAAGGTGAGCTGAAATACAACCATCCCTGTGATATGCAACATCACAATTTGTGAAAACATGCTATCAAGTTAAGAAAAATGGAAGTTTACATACAAAATAAATCAAAGTCATCTGTCATCAAGGATGTAATATGCAAATAATCATTTCAGAGTATGAGAAGTAATCCTGGACACTGGGGTTCCTCTCTGATTTTACAAGAGTACCCCGAGTGCCTAAAACGAACTTTAAACAAAGTACACATGTCACTCGGTTTAGGCTGCTGTGCCAAGATGCCAAGGACAGGGTAACTCACAAGACACAAGACGTTCACCAAGAGGAAGGGTTCTGCATGGACACAAACTCCTGTGCCTTATCTCGGGTTCCCTCCCAGGCTCCAGAACTCCAAGTTACACACCTCTGCTGCTTATAATTTACCCACTCTAAGGAATTCTTGGTATTTAATAGGGCAAAATTTCGCTACTTGTTACATAAGAATGTTCTTTGTTCATCTTGGACCATTATTCTTCAACACATGCAAAACAAATCTGTTACTGTCTGAAATCCATAGATGAATTCAGAAAACTGACATCTTTACAATATTGCATCTCCAATGGGACACATCCCTCAACTTCTCCCTTTTATCAATCCTTTTCTCTGTACTGTCTTGTATATCTTTACATTTACTTCTGGGAACAAACTTGAACACGATTTCTTTTTTTTTGGTACCGGGGATCAAACTCGGGACCTAGTGCTTCTGAGGCAGGCGCCGGAACCACGGAGCTAAATCCCCGACCCTTGAACACGCTTTCTTTTTCTCCAATTGGCTCTAGTGGTAAATTGTGCACAAAGACTTCCGCAGACCACCCCACATCTAGCAAATCTATGAAACTCTCTTCCTGGGTCTCCTAATTTACCTCTGAATCCTCCTGGATGATCTAGGTCATCATTTCCTTCAGAAATAATGACCATTTGCTCCCTTCCAAACTGCGGATCTCACTTTCCCTCTTGTACCACATTGACTGGGATGGCCACAGTGACATCAAGCACACAGCATAACAGCAAAAATCATTGCTTTTTCCAATTCAGTTAGAATGTTCTTTTAAGTTTGATATTTAGTGTACTCCTTCGATACATCCTTAAAAGCCTAAGGAACTTCTTATTTCTATTTTTCATGGAGTCCTTTCTTCACCTGCTCAAATTATATAGGTTTTTTTCTTTCAATCTAAATTAATTTCACATCAGTAATGTGAAATATATTTATTGATGTATAAATAAAGCATATTTGAATTTCTGGGATAAATTCTGCTTGATTATGATTGTGTTTTCCCATTTTAAGGCATTTTTGAGGCTTTATTTGCTAGTATTTTATTTGGGATTTTAAAAATGATTATGGAAATGAAAACATTATAATATCCTTTTTCTTCTAGCTTCTGTATTCTCTAAATCGGCTTTTTAAAAATTAAGCTCATACTAACTTCGTCACGCACATACTCTACAACACCCACGATCTCCAACACACCAACTGCTAACGTCTGAATGTCCCCCAAATCCACAGGTCGAAATGTAACTGCCAATGTGACAGAATCGAGGTGGGGCCTTTAGCCAGTGATTAAGTCCTAAGCGCAGGTCTTTCATGGGATTAGCAACTTTTCATAGAAGAGGCTGAAGGGCCAAGCATGGTGGCAATCACCTTTAGTCCCAGAACTCTGGGGGCTGAGGCAGGAGGATCGAAAATTCAATCCTTGCCTGGGCAACTTAGTGTCTTAGAGAGACACAATTTATTAAATAGTTCAAGAGATTCTACCTCAAAATAAAAAGAGGCTGGGGACGCAGCTCAGTGTGAAGGCCCGTGCCCTTCTGCTTTCCTGCTTGTCTTTGGTGAGGACACAGGATCTGTCCCCTCTGGGGGTCACAGCATTCACGGTGCCATCTTAGATGCAGGACAAGACCCTCCTCAGAAAAACTCACTGGTGTCTTACCCTGGGACTCTGCAGGCTCCAGAACTGTGGGGAAACTATGTTGTCTGTAAACTGCCTGGCCTCAGATACTGTATCACAGCAGCACAAACAGATCCAAGACAGCGAGCTGTCAAATGCATTTTCCAAAACTTCTGCATGATTATCTGGCAAACAACGAACCCAAACCCTCTCACTCTAAGCCTCTTTGCACTTGGTCTAGTAAGTAATCTCTGCATTTGAAATAGGCCCACGAGGCACTATAGAAAATTAACTAATAAATTTTACTAATGGTGAAAAAGTTCATTATTACATGCCTTTCTCCCTCTTACAAAACTGAGAGTCCACAGCTAAGGAAGATAATGCTCTGGCCCTTGCCCTCCAGGGTCAGCCAGGGCCCAGGGCACACTGGGCCCCACTCTGAAAGGGTCCAGCCACTCTGGTGAGCCTCCCAAACTCCTGAGCGGGGGGCTACTGGACCCTAAAGGGCAAGAGCAAACCAATGTACATTCTGCAAAAAGGGGGGGTCACTAAAGAGGGAACTGTGCCTGTGTTTTCAGAGAAAGCTGCATGGTCCAGGCAGTCCATGATCCATTCCAGAAAATGACACAACTGGCAGAGGAAAACTAGAGGCGCTAAGAGGCCCCTCACAGGGTGCCGTGAACAGCTCCTGAGGAACAGCCCCTGACCCCCATGAATACCAGATAGATAAACTGATTGATTTTGATTATCACCTGGTCTTAAACTCCCAACAGGGAAATATAACAAAAATGGAATAAACAATAGTAAAATAAAAACAGAGCTAGGCTAGATATAAAAAGAGGTTACAAATACTGCGAAAGCTATTCCTGGCAGTCTCCAGCTACACCCACAACATTTTAATCTACAGCCATGAGAGGCTGTGAGTCCCAGGCCCGCTAGCATTCCATACACGTGTCCTTCAGCCTCTCCTAGTTGGTGCCGTTATGGTATCGTGATGTACCTTCAGGCACCCCTCCGGTAAAGATGTGACTTCTCGTACGGGTGTACCTAGAGGATAAAAATGTCAATATAAATATTCTAGCTAGTTTTGCTACCTTTGTGGTATAAACTAACTTTCTGGCATCTATTTCAGACTTTATTTGTCTATATTAGCTGGAGCCAGACATATAAAAGGTCTTCAGGTCTACAAAGTAGAAGCCAGATCCAGGTCCTGAGTCCTAGAGTAAAAATTTGTAATGGCTCACTGGTCACAAAAATAGTAGATATCTTTATTTATTGTATTCCTTGTCCACTGTTATAATTCACATAGCACACTGTATTTCTCATGACAAAATAGGGAGGAGTCTGTATACTCTTAAACTCCACCAATTACATTTAGGCTAATACCTCTGGACAAATAGAGGTTAATTTTAAATATAAAAGGCTTAAAACTTTTTGGAGCCGCTATTTACCAATATTTTACTATTAATTTTTGTCCCTTGCTTTTTTACCATGTAACGTTATAAAATGAACTTTAAAAGTCAATGACTTGCTAACATTCTTGTTCCCTCTTCCAGACTGTCGAAGGATGAAGGTTCACTAAGTAACAAAACTCATTTTTCTTTTCTACTTTGATAACAGTAAGACTTCTGACCCTGCTGAGACAGGGTTGGTGCCTCACTCCTAGTCTAAAGCAGCTATCAGAAGAGAGACCTCAGGTCCTCTGCATCATTTTAAAATAGAGACCAAAATCTCATCAGGGAGGGTGAGGTAGCATAGAAGAAATACAAAATAAAGACGGACTAGAGACAAGGAAAATCATAATTTAAAAATTGTACTTTTAA